AACAACAACAACAATAATAATAATAATAATAATAATAATAATGAACCCCATTTACTGGGTATTCTGATGTATTAAGGATTTACTTTAATATATCATCATGCAGTATTTCTGGATAAAAATTAAACAGATAGAATCATTAGGTGTCAACTGGGGATTTTTTTTTCATTTGTTCTTCTAACTGAACCATTTAAATGGATTCTCTTTTATCTGTTTTAAGCTGTCCTTTAAAAAAATTTTTAAAAATGTGATCTCTCTTTCTCTGAGTGAATGATAAGCAGTCTATGAACACCCAATATTACTGAAATCTGGAAGTGTCATACTGTAAAACGCAAGGCAAGATGAGGGCATGAATGTGGCCAACTCTCTCCTCTTTTGAATCTGATGTTTTCAAAGTGTGCCTCTTTTAGTATTTGTTTGTTTTTCAGTTTATTGGTATAGTTTATCTGACAATAGTTGTAAAAGTAGTTCATGGATTGCGTATATAGTCAAATGAATGTCAATAAGCGTGCCAAGGCCATTCAATGTGGAAAAGATAGTCTCCTCAACAAATGGTGCTGGGAAAACTGTATAGCCACATTCAAAAGAATAAAGGTAGACCCTTACCTTACACCTACTGATTCCAAGAAGGAATACACTTGCCAAAACGGACGCCTTGTGGTTAATTGGAATTCATAATCAGAGTGTAGTAGTTATTGCTGGCAGAGGCCTCTCATGCACTGTGTGTTTCAGGGAAAAGCCATAGAAGGAGCTAAGAGCCTCCTGCATACTGAGTCAAGCATTATAAAGGAGTGCCTGGAATCCTATTTCAAACAATGGACTGAGACCTGCCCCTTCAAATCTGAGCTGAGCAGCTATATCCTTATTTGCATCTTTACTGACCAATCAGAGCAGCTCTGCAATGACCAATCACGACGCATGATTCTTTCCAGTCAGGACAGTAGTATTTGGACCGATCAGGACAGTGTTATTTGGACCAATCAAACTGTGCAAGTTTGGGTTCCTGATTTATATAAAAATTAACCAATCAGGGACCAGGACAGGCACTTATTATATAAGTGGGCCTCCCCTTTGAGAGGTGGGGGTGGGGGGCAAAATGTGAAGACAGTGCACTTTCAGTTTTTTCCAGAGGCTGTGTTTCCCCATTTTGCAAACTATAAAGTCTCTCCTTTTTTCGCACCTTAGATTGGGGACTCGTGTTGGCATAAGAGGCAGAGAATNCTAAGATGCTGAACAACAGCTCAACCTGGAGCTGGGCTGCCGTGAGTCGCCGGCGACGGCATAGGCTGCAGCCACTGTGGCAGTGGGTTGCCATGGGCTACCGTGTGTAGCCAGCAGCCAGAGTGAGCGGCCAGCAGCCACAGTGAGCGGCCGTCCAAGAAGCTGGTGACTGATCTGCCTCGCCAGGGAAGAGCGCAATGATGGTGCCAACTTGGGCAAGTGAAGCAACGTCCTCCACAACTAGATTGAAGAACAAAACGACAGCAAGTTATCTGTTCCCCTTCCCCCAATCCCCCAGCACTGTTCCCATCCCAATTCCCCAATAAAAATCTTTAAAAAAAAAACATTCCCCTTAAAGTGCATCCCAAATATCCCTAAGGCATAGATCAGAAATTAATTATTCTAATATAAGGAAATTATTTTGATTTATAAAAAATATTAGAAGCTGGCTATCAGCAAAATCACAATCTCAGGAGTACAGGAGCTGCACCATTCCACAGTAATTCTGGATGTGCTCTTTCTGAGAGCTTAACTCAGAACGATAGTCTAACTTGAGTTTTCACATTGAAGAACATGACAGGGAGCTTTCACAATAGTAACTTTCACGGTCAAATTAAGCAGAGAAGATATGAAGTATTTGGGAGAAATAAAGCTTTTTTGATTAAAATTAGATTTATATAACCTGGATCTTGTTTCAAACAAATCTAATCAGCACTTCGGTGATCTAACCTAGAAGTACCTGACAATTAAAATTGCAGCCATTATTTGGACTACAAGTACTTAGGGGAAAAGGGGCTAGGAAGGAAGGGGCTAGAAATTATTCTTTAGCTGAGAATACAAGGGTCTCCCTCGAAATAGGTGTGAAAAGTGACCTTTTAAACAAAGAGAAGAGTTGCTGTAAATGTATAAAAATAGGGGAATGGAGTTTAATAAGTTGTTTTCAGAAGAACAATCAGATATTTGCCTGAATGCTGAAAATGAAGTGTTATGCCTAAACCTGGGAATGCTCTGAGCACATTTTCCCACCCAGTCATTTGGTACTGGTGTGAGTCTAGGAATTGATGAAAACCTGAAAGTAAAATAATGGTGTAAAATAATAGAGCCCTTCCCTGAATTTCCTGATTGGTAAATCCAACTTTGTCTAACTGGAGTCCCACAGGTCAGGGCCTCCTATTGTATAAAGTGGTACATAAACTGGGGTTCTCAAATCTTGAGTGGATGCTCTCTAGTGGCAAATTATATAACATAACCTTCATCACATACCCTTCTTCTAGGAATATTACATGAAATTATTTTGATTTGGGGATTCATTTGAGGCCTTCCTAATGCTCCCTCCCGATTAGTCAAAGCAATAGGATGTCCCAAAGAGAATGAACCCTTGCCTCGGCTCCTCTTCTTAACAGACACTTTCTCATTTTCCTTCAAGGTACTTTCACACAAGATCACATTTTGGCAAATGACACAAACTTTTATGATTCCTGGCAACGACAGGGAACCAGTCCCATCGTTTCATGCCACTCTTCCAAGCAAAATGCCTTTCTTCTTCTAGGGGATACTCAGCATAGAGGAAGAGACCCTGGTATTGTCTCTGAACTGGAGGGGGCTTTCACAGTCACCCAGTCCACTCCCTTCATTTTACATGTGACGGAACGTAGGCCCAGAAGCAGTGGAGTGGCCTGCCGAAGTAGCGTGCACATTTCATTCTGGAGAAGGTCAGCCTGTGTGGCCATGCCCTCCCCTGGGCCCAGGATTTCCCAGCTAAGGGCAGCACATGCCAGCCCAGGTTCAGTTCCTCAATGCTTATCACCTCCATCTGCCCAGAATTCTTTCCTTCACAGGAATACACACCCAAGGCTCCTCCCCAAGCCTGGGCACTGGGCCATTTTACCTCTAGGAAAAGTAAGCAACTTCCTCTGAAGGCATGCAGTGTCCTGGTGTCCACTCTTGAACGCTGAACAGCAGGGGCTTGAGAGAGTGATGCAGTTTGTACCCTCCTCACAAAAGGCCGAGTGTGTTTCTACTACAATAACCCTCGTATCCCCCAATCCCCTTGCAAAGCTGTGCCTGCCAACTGGCAGCACAACTCATAAGCAACAGCCAGCTCTGGGCTTGTGTTGAATTAACTTTTTTTGTAAAGTAGGCTAATAGTTTGGAAACTGTCATTATGCAATTAGTATTCATTTTGAAATGTGGTTATTTATGCTTTGCCTTGATCAATGTCACACTCTCTCCTTCTCAGATGTCACTGCAATGCTATGGGGCAGGGACCCAAGGTGCAATGGTGTAAATTTCATTTTCAAATGCACTCCAGTGGTCTGTGTGCCTCCCCATGCAAAATGTAGATCTTTAGGAGACTGTCTGGATTCCCAACATTTACATGCAAATATTTTTAGACCAGGAATACAAAAGACTCCTTCTGAAAGCACACTCTGTTGTGCTTCACAAACAAGGGGACACAAGTGATTGAAGAGGTAGCACACAGGCATGGGCAGCATAATTGATACACCTGGAGCCTTCTGAAGCACAGCCCCCAGACAAAACTAGGGCCTCTATGAGAACTACAGAGTTGGAACACAATTTTCTATCCTTGGCCCAAAAATCTTGGTTTAGAGAAAAAACAAGAAGCAGGGTAGAAACGCAGGAATAGTCTCTGACCAGTTCCCCTTTTGAACAAGGGAGACAAAGAGATAAAGCAAACGATGTTTTAAAGTCGAGAGTGAAAAAGGAGGCCATGGCAACCCAGGGGAGAAAGAAATCCATGACGATTGAAACCCGAGCGATTGCTGAGGGGTAGGGAGCTGGGTAGTTAGTGGGCACTGGCACCTGGGTAATGTCTCTGGGAGGTAGCCAGTGGGGGCACAAGGAGGTGACCCTGGCCAGCTGGGATTTAGCAAAAGGAAGAAAAGAAAAACATAAGTCAGGTTAATATGCCAATCAGTCCCTAACATCTCCTTCTACAGTCCCCATCGCAAGGTAAAGTCATGAGGCTGCTCTTTTTTCTTTTCCTCTCATCTCTACTTTAACTCAACTGATCACCTTAAGGGTTGAAATATTCACAAGGAAAGACAGAAAGTCAGGACAGAGAAGGGGTCCTACTATGTGACTGCCCCCGGCCCAGGTCTCTAGCCCCAGCACTTTAAAAACCACCCAGGATGGTTCTATGTCTTCATTTTAACCAGAAGGAATTTCTAAGGATGCCCAGTGAATTCCCTGGGCCCACACTCAACTCCAAGAATCAGACAGAAATAGTGTAGGGTGCTAAATCGGTTCTTCTGCAATTTAACACAGAGGCTTTAACTTTAGGTATCCCCATGGCCAAATCGATTCTTCCATTAGATGAACATATTCTATAGCTTCCTAACTCTCCTTAACATTCCATTTACAAAGCATGTTCTATCCATTCATTTCAAACGGAAAGTAAAGAGGCTGGTTACCAGCTGTGATCCTAGTAACCACTTAGGACATAAAGAGATAAGGAAGTCATCTTCACAAGGCTGCTGTCCCAGAGTAACAAGCAAAGTGAAGGCCAGAAATCAAGGTCCATTCACCTTACCCTACTCCTCCTTTATCATTCATTTCCTCCCCCTGGGAATCATGAGAAAGCCTCAGTCCACAGGCAAAATTCAAATGGTATTTTTTTTAAGAAATGTGTTTATTGAGGGCAAGAGAATGTAAGCAATGTAAACATCAAAGGCTTACCTGGCTTTAATTGGCTTTTATTTCTCTTGTCAAATGAGGATGGGATTTTATTTGTACATTTTCAAAGGGTCCCAATCTGTTCATTAAATCCTTATACAGGAGGAAGCTGTGGGGCAGAGAGATTTCCTTAAGCGGCTCATTGGGAGAACTCTTAAAGCGGGAGTAATTGCTCCGTGCTGCCTACTTCTTTCCCTTCTGCACTTTTTGTGTATTACAAAATAGTCATTGTACGTGATGGTGAGCCCAGCAATTAGTGAAAAGCTCTGGAAGCCCGCTCTGCCAATGCAGCACTGGTCCACATCCTTCACTATTTTTTCCACAGCCAGAGGATCTTTTTGATTTTCCAAAAATCCAGGGAGCTCCTTTTTTCCTGAGAGTACCTTTGTTAAGTAGCCTTTATCCTCAGCAAATTTGTGAAACGTGAACATCATGGTTTCCATGGCGCATTCCATCTGAGGTGGTATTTGGGCGAGGTCTTGGCCTGAGGCAGGATCGCTCTGCTGGCTGGGACCCGTGAACACTGAGCAGAGCACCAACAGCTGGGCACCTTAGGTGAGGGACAGTCAAATGGTATCTTTAATAACTCTATTAATAGCCCCCTCCCCACAACATTTCAGAAACCTCTGCATAAGTGTAGCTTGTTCTCCCACATAACTGATAAGCCTTATAATATTATGCACCAATATATCAATTAAATACAGTCACATTTACAGGGAACTTCAGTTTATCAGAATTATATACAGGATGCCAAAAAACTGTATACAAATGGACACTTTGGTCAACGTTGCTCAAGCAGTAGTTCGCCATAATCAGAAGTGTCTGGA